TCTCTACACTGGAGAGCAAGGTTCTGAGTTTCTGTAGACTTTGATTTTGATCTCTTCCCGCTTTCATGGTGTCTTAATGACCTGTATGATGTTCTTGATGTCTTCTCACAACTCTTCTGCTCTCCAGTCATCACTGTTTATTACATGAAATCTGTTCTTAAATATCTCACAATTCAGGAGAGATATGTTCAAGGTTATATTTTGGCTCTCTTGAGAAACAGTTTTAATTTTCTTCATCTTCAGATTTTACTTGTATATGAGCAATTGATGGTCTGTTCCTGGCCATGCTTTTGCTGATATGGAGCTTTTCCATCATATTTTTCCATTTTTGTTGTTTTTAAGTGCTGACGAGTCGGTTTTGACTCATAGCAACACTGTATAGCATTTCCAAGGAGCCGCTGGTGAGCTTGAACCACGGACCCTGCAGTTCAAATGGCTTTACAGTCTGGCACATTAACCCATAACGCCACACGAGGAATCCGGATCAATATATTCAATTTCTCTTTTGTGTATTCCATCAGGTGACATGTATGCTCATCTTTTGTTGCTTAAAAAAGGTATTTGCCACAAAGAATTCATTGGTTTTGCAAAATTTTATCATGCGATCTTCAGCATCAATTCTATCACTTATGCCAAATTTCCAAACTACTCATCATAACTCTTTGTTTCCAACATTTGCATTCCAATTTCCTGACACACACTTCTGATTATAATATACTCAGTTATCCTTGTTTTGTTCAAATGATTGTCTCTCAGTAAAAGCAAAAGTTCCTTATGAGCACAATTAAGTGTTCTGGAATTTCCATTCTTCACAATATTATCCATAGCTTTTTATGGTCCAGTTGAATGCCTTTGCATCATCAATAAAGCACAAGTAAACACCTTTCTGGTATTCTTTGCTTTCAGCCTAGATCCATCTGAGGTGAGCAATGATATCTCGATTTTCATGCCCTCTTCTGAATCTAGCTTGAATTTCTGGCAGCAGCCTGGTGTACTGGTGTGGTGCTGTAGTATAGACACTTGACTGCTCTCCACAAGGCCTGTGGTTCAAACCCACCAGCCACTCCTTGAAGACCCTATATAGAGTCACTGAGTCAGAATCGACTCCACAACAGTTAACAAAACAACAACCTGTCAATGTACTGCTACATGTGATATAAATGATATTGTGATTTCTGCATTTCCTTGGAATGGTTCAAATATGGATCTTTTCCAATCAGTTGGCCCGTTAGCTCCCTTCCAAATTTCTTAGCATAGACTAGTGTGCACCTCCAGTACTGCATCAGTCTGTTGAAACATTTCAATTGGTACCTTTTCAATTCCTGGAGCCTTGTTTGTTATAAATGCCTTCAGTGCAGCTGACACCACCATTTTTCTTGATCAATGTACCTGTTGACATGCTTAAACATCATGGATTATTTTTGATATAGTGTCTCTCTACCAATATTTTGTCCATAGAATCCTTCAATACTGCAACTTGAGGAATGATGTTTTCTCTAGAGTCCTTTCAGTTTGAGAAATACTGAGCATGTTCTTCCATTTTGATCTTGACTCTTGGTCTTTGAACAGTTCATTATTTAATACTTGACTTTGTCTTTGTGAGCTGCTCTTTGAAACCTTCTGTTCAGCTGTTTTACTTCATTTCTTTTAGTTAGCTTAGCTTCTGTATATTCAAGAGCAAGTTTTAAGACTTCTAACATAGTTTGGTCTTTTTTTCCCCCCTCTCTTTTTAATGACATTTTGTTTTCCTCATGCATAATGTTCTTGATGTCATTCCCCAATGTTTCTTCCATCATTAGGATCAGCACTGGATTGCAAACCACAAAGTCTTCAATTCAAACCCACCAGTTGCTTCACATAAATCCTATACAGGTTTGCTATGAGTTGGAACTGATTCAGTGGTACTTAATAACAGAGAACACTTAGGTAGCCATCATGTATTGTCTGATGACGATATCGTTGGCACTGAATAAGTTAATAACTAGCCCTGGTGGCGCAGTGGCTAAGTACTTGGTTTGGTTGCTAAGCCAAAGGTCAGCTATTCAAACCCCTCACTGACTGTGTAAGACCATCAGTCACTCTATAACAGAAAGCTGTGGCAGTCTACTTCCATCAAGGAGCTCTGGTAGCATAGTGGTTATGAATAGGGCTACAATCCTCAAGGTCAGGAGTTCAAAGCTACCAGTTGTTCCACAGGAGAAAGATGAGGCTTTCTGCTCTCATAAAGATTACAGCCTTGGAAACCCTATACAGGGTAGCTATGAGTCACAATTGACTTCATGACACATAACAACAACAACAAC